CGATGGTTATATACACCACTCAGTTGTAGAAATAACCGATCGACAATCAGACGGTAGTCAATAATATTTTTCCACTCTGCAAAGTGGAAGAGTAGTTGGTTGTACAACATACAAAATAAACGTGTATGTATGCATTGTGACGAGAAGTGTTGGTAGAGCAGAAAAAAATCATAATCATAACATGGATGAGCAAAGAGCAAATTGGTTGCTTTATAGCTTTGGGGTTACATGGCAAACAACATGGATTAAATCAGTTAAACGGTCAAAACGAGCACGAACCATTTTTTATTTTAAAAATTAGAGTCGCAATTGTAACAGCTCACAACTCACGAGTCGGACCCTATGCGGCACAGCTCACGAGACTCAAACCAACTTGCCGGTTAGTTTCTGTGTTCAAGACTAGCAACTCCGCATACGCAACCGTTTGAGGGAGGGATACGATCGAGTGCATTCGGGGGGAGGAGGGGGGGTATTGCTGAGTGAAAGGGGTGGGGCAGAAAGTAAGAGGGAGGGGGGTGGGGCGGGGCCTTTGCAGGGGGGGTCTATAACCTCACCTTTGTTGCTATGCAATTCACACATAGCCGACCTCACCTTAATAAAGCAACGTTCGTTGTAAAGTATCTTCCCGTCATCCTCACTCCCGCCCTCCTTCCATCTCCCTTGTTTCCTGTCTTGCCCTTCCCCTTTTGTGTCTCTCTGCCTCTCATTCTCTCTGCCCCTTCATGTCAACTGCTCCTTGTCCTTTCTTCCTCCTGGTTTAGGTGATCATACAATACCTCTCTCCTCCTCGTGTGTCAGGCTGCCCTGCCCCCTCCTGTGCCTCAGCTCCTATCTTGGCAGCTCTGGTCACGAGACCCAAAGCATGAGCATTGTAGCACACCAATGCCTTGTGTGGAAGCAATTCCATAATGCTGCAAAATGTCCTCTTCGCAAAAATGAGGGTAAATCCTGACTGTGTAGTAAGTGTTGGGATGTTATAAGGGGAGACAATATAATATAAGATCTAGCAAAACGATTAGTGCCTAAACTGCCTTATCTTCAAGGTTATGCAGCCCCTCTTGCCTCTGCTCCTTGTTACCGATGCAAGCACACTTTTGTTTGGGTCACCAGCTACAGTGGTAGCAACTAGTTTGAATCAAAATTTGGGAGGGAGAATAGGGGAAGGGGGGAAGGGGAGGGGGACGAGGGGAAAGGGCTCAAGAATTGATACTGTTTGAACCACCGGGGGTAATGGTAGCTGCAGCATCAGCTTTTGGGGCGTATGATCAGGTAGGTACTGGGCTGGGGCATAGTGAAGGAGGGAGGGAAGGAAGGGGAAGAAGGATAAGGGCATGGGGGTAAAGAGTGTGGGAAGTAGTTGCAAGCAAAATGGCTTTAAGACCTGTTGGGGAAAAAAATGGGGAGGGAGGAAGGGTAGAGGTGGGTAAAGGCTTGGGGGTAAAGGAAAAGGTAAGGATGCTGAACGTACAATTGACCCAAATCATATAACAAAAGAATGCTGAGGGAAAGCACACCACGGAACATTTCTGTCTAGAGCTAGAAACACCATTGTGTGCTTTTCCATTGTTGCCACCTGCAACAAGCTCAGGGCATCTTGAAAACCAACCTAAAATACGCAACATCATCTGAAGCACAGGTGCTTCCATATGACAGGTGTTGCGACCACGACCTAGCAATTTTAGTAATACTGGTAGTGAAAATTTGATGATTGCATGTGGGATGGAAGGCTTCAGTACTCCGTACAGGTCTGAGACATGCTGTGCTTTTGCTGTTGAAAATCATACAGCCTTCCAAAACAGGAAGGATGAAACACATGATGTGGTTTTGTGCATTTGTGCCACAATATAGTATCTAAGTGTTGTTTTCCACGTATGAAGGTGCCCTCTTACTCCTCCCAATACCCCCCCACAGCGCACCATACGACATGCGGGCACCATGCCCACACTAAGTCTTACCATCGTCTTGGATCGATTGAGCAAGTAGCTAATCCACAATTTTTTTGGAAATGCTTGCCACAACCGTGGAGGTATGGTTCGGTACAAGATCACATCCCGATCCTTGCAGGAAAAGAGGGGAGGGGAGAAGTGGATGACAATATTGAAAAGAAAGAAGGGTGCAAAACCACATTCAATCACAAAACCCTCCTAATTCCATTAGGTGAAAGCAAGATAACGTATTAAAGGCTTTTCTTCCGCATTACTCCTCCGCCCCCCTCTTCCACATCACCATAAGGTAAAGCACCTACATGTTGGTCTTCGGCGGTTCACCATAATCGGCGATAATCAAAAGGATTATAAGTTCCAATGCTACAAATATTTGCACTAATTACAGTTCTTCCAGATGCTTCGTCTTTGCTTTGCTAAAAGCAATCCCCTCTGCAAGATTCTGCTATGGCAGCTGCTGCACCGTGTCCATTTCCTCAAAACTGCTCAAAGACACAATATTGATAAGTTACACACAGCATATATATGGTTAATACGCATTATTTTATAGACACAAGGCCCACGAACAGACACTTGTTGCTGCGGCGTTAAGGCGCGCGGGCTGCAGCGGCGTTGAAAAGCACTTGCGTGAACCCTGGTGAATAATGTGGTTGCAACCACCCCGCCTCACCTCGCCCCACCTCGTGTCACCTCGCAGCAGCAGTTGAAGGAGAGGGAAACGAGGCTGGGGGCGAGGCTATGAGGTCCGAGGAGGCTTCGGAGATCCTTGCAGCGCTGAGGGAGAGAAGGGCGAGCGATGCGCAACGCTAGGAGGGGAAGAGAGAGGGAGGCGGGAATGAGCTGGAACAATCCCCAGTCGTAAAGTAACAGCCACCACGCAGATAAAACCCTACGTTTTTGTCGACGCTATTTAATATCTCTTAGCTTATGGGCAGGGTAGGCTAGATCTGCGTACGTTGAAAATAGGGAGCGTGTATCTTAGATTCCTCGTCCACGCACGATCGTCGTTGGATAAGCAGAGGAGTTGGTGTACCCAGAGAAGGGGTTGCTGAGAGACACTGAGTACCACTGCTCATGCTGGATGTACAGTTTGTGCGGTGAACCTACATGCTATTTGAACCAGGGCCAACATCAGGAGCATGCAACTTTCTGCAGGGCCCCTATTCGGTTGTGTGGAAAACCGTTGGGGCTTTGGGTGTGCTGCGCAAGATTGCCTTGTTCCGCCACTCAGCAGACTGTTGTACAGTTGGAACAGCACAGGCCACTGACACACCATCCACGCAAGTATCGCACGAAGTCGTCGCCAAAACCCAACCCCCCCGGCCCCCTTCCTTCACAAAAACAAGGGTGGTGCAAGCGCGAATTTGTGCGGTGCGGAATTCCCTTCCGCACGGAACTCCTCATCAAATCGGACGACTGGAAATTATGCATATTTTTTGTGCTCCTCGGGCCTCCGCAAATGAATCTCAATACTGTGTACGCAACTAACCTTTTTTCTTGCTAATTTTGTTGCTCGAAAATGCCAACTTCACTGATCATTAATGTTTTTACCGCATTGCATGTCTCCCTAGTTCAAACAACATATGCCACAATGTGCTGTTGTTTTGTGTAAGTATGTTTTTTACAATTACGTGTAGCTAAAGAAAAAAAAGCAGGCTTCAACAACATGAGGCACAGCTTCAGCAATATGCCTTCTCTTACGAAAAGGTCGCAGCCGATGTGGAAGAATTGAAGCAACAACAGGAAGTGAGTGCGAGAAAAGCGGCAACAACAGGAAGTGAGTGCGAGAAAAACGTAAAAGCTTTTACGGTTGCTACGCCAGTCCCAATCGTCTTCCATACGTTTGCTTGTGCACCACCATGTCTTCATGCATGCGTTCGTTAAAACACATGAGGAGTCAAGTAAGCAAAAAACTAGTCATTCTTCGTTTAATTCTTTCTCCCGGTGTTTCTTTCTTTCTTTCTTTCTTTCTTTTGCTTGTATACCTTGCTATGGCCACACAATATCAGAAGATGTAAAATAGATGAAGATTTGGCAAGAGAACGGAAGAGGCAAGAGAGTGTGGGAGAAGAGATGGAGGTGGAGGAGGGGGAGGAAGAGGAGGACGGGGAGGGGGAGGGGGAGAAGGAGGAGGAGGAGGAGGAGGAGGAGGAGGGGGAGGAGGAGGAGGGGGAGAAGAAGGGCTCTTGGAGCTCTTGAGATTCAGTCCTGACTGCCACTCAGCACGATTGATCCAAAGCATGAAGCAGTCAAAGGCTCGCAAGAGGCAATTGATGTTGTCAGCCGAGACGTACGTGTGCTGGCACCGATGATGGTCATTGGAAACTTCTGCTGTCGAGTTTGCTCTTGCTTAAAATCTTGAACGCGCTGTAGACCTTGTCGAGCGGTTTGTAGCGCTCGAAGCCCAGAGGAAGACCTGGAAACGACTTGTGGGCCAGTGAAGCTTCGGGACAAATAATGCAAGGTGGGTCGTCCGAGTTGGCTCGAAGTGTATTACAGCTGGACAAGAGAAGTGCATTGGTGTCGAATATGTGAGCTTAGATCGAGTTTTTTAGAGTTGTTTGAGACGGATGACCAAGTCGTTGGTGCAGATGTCGAGGGTGGCACGATATTCGATGGTTTGGCAATAGTAATGATCTTTGTGTGCTTGTTCCGACTGTACTGTTAGAGGATGCACCAAGGTCCCTCGTGCAGTGACTGACAGCCTAGCAAAGATGTCCAGGCTGCAGCGGCTGGAAAACGAGGTGCTTTTGAATCTGGAAAGTATGTTTGGATCTAAAGACACTATATAGACACTTTTGAAGAATATTCAAGGTAGTTGAGTTGACATGCTTAAGTGTACATGAACCTCTTAATATCAACCTCATTAGGGCAAATAATATAATGCCATTGCATACATATGCAAGTATCGCATCACTCCTTGCGTGCAAAATTACGCCTACTTTAAATAAAAAACGGGCCTACACTAAATAAATAGCGCTACATCTAGAATAGCTCAATTTGCACCTCGTTTGTATTGTGATGCCTGGGATAAGCGGCCCTGGAGGTGAGGTCATCTCAAGTCAAATCCCCAAGCTCATCTGCTTCCATCTCAGCTTCAGGGATCTCCTTCCATCCAACGATGCAGATGCTGCCAATGCCGACACAGTCGCCATCTCGGTCAACGGGCCCCTCGTTGATCCACCTCTGCACCACCAGTGCCTGCCTGGAGAAGGCTGATGGGTCCCCTGATCGCTTGAACTGGGCCTTGTCGTGCGGATAACGAAGCTTGAAGCGCACCTAAAACGAGTGGATCAGAACCACAGTAACAAGACTACTTTAAACACAAACAAAGATTACCGTACTTGACTTACCGCTGCAAGGATAACCAACAGCTGATCAGGAAACAAGGCAATGGGAAGGGCGTCGTCGAATTCCGGGTCCCAAAGGGACACACACTTGACAAACGCTGGGCTAGAAAAGGGTGATCCCTCCCACAGATGCCAATAGATTCCCATCATGACTGCCAAAAGAGAAACCATTTGCTAAAAGGAGGGCTCAACGGAGTACAGGAAAAACAGGTATTTATAATTAACAAACACTTACCGTCGGACTGGTTCTTCACGTAATCCGCGCACACCTTCGCGAAGTCATCGATCTCGGCGAAAGTGAGCTCGCCCTTAAGGGTGCGCTTCTCCCTCATGAAGATACACGGATCTCGGCTCAAGGCGTAAACGCGGCAGAAGCGGTAGATCTTCCTGTTGGGATTGTTAAAACGATCCATAGCATCCTTCAGCTTACCCTAGGACTTAGCAATCGCTGCCACCTGCATCCCTTCGGCTGATTCGGGGGTGTAGCGTGCATGCCCTGCACACGACGTAAGCTGTGATAATCAGTACAGTCCTAAAAATGAAGGGAGAATTGACACAACACTTAAAAAACTTACTGATCAATGCATTTTGCATGGCATCAGAATCAGGATTGGGGTTGAGAAACGCTTTCTTGAACAAGAATTCATCACAAGCGTCCTTGGAGTACTTTTGCAAGACGATGATAGAGAGTCAGGACGATTGTAACTGGATTGCGTGATGCAATGAAATGCAAACCCGTACCTTCCAGTCGAGAGTCGACTGGTCCACTTGCGTTGTCTTATTAGCAAGGTGAATTATAAGCACCAGTGCGCTTTTCAGGTCTTCGCGAGGCGACCATTCTCTTTCTGATAAACTCCGGCGATCACCTTCTGAGTTTCAGCCTTAGTTCGAAGCTCCTCATTCACATCAGGTTCGGCACGCACTTCCTCATCGAATAGAGCGGCATCAGTTGCATACGCACGCCCCGTCGCCCGGGTCATAAGCAACTCCATTGGGCTGCGGTTGGGGTTTCCTGTTCAGGGGGGAAATTTTACAAAGCGACACGTTAGATATGAATTCAACAGGTTGAAAGCAGGTTGTTAACAGCGGCCAAATGATGCAGAACAGCAACTCTGAGACACCACTTTGAGAAAGGTATAGCAGACATACCTTCAATAGCAGCAGGTGTCCCGGCGGGACAGCATCGGGAGCCACATCAGCAGGAGGGGAACCACCATCAGGAATAGCTGAAGGTGAAGACCCGGCAGCAGCGACGGCAGGGGGAGATCCGGCAGCAGGGGAAGACCCGGCAGCAGCAGGGACGGGACCACCGGCAGCAGCATCGAGGGGACCACCGCCAGCCATGGACTTCACTCCAGCTGCCGGTGCAGAGACGGTTTTCCCAGCAACGTTGCGGTTGTTGACGTCATCAAGGCTCCGCCTTGCATGTTTGGACCGTTGGCCGGTGCGATGGCGGCCCTGCGCTTGCTCGTCGGCCGATTCATCGTGGCTATTATCTGTGAGAAACAATGAACGGTGGTTAGTTGTGTTCGACTTCATTCGTGCAAACAAATAAAAAACGCAAAACAAAACCAGCGTGCAAATACATGCGGTAGCAGCGGTACTAATGTACTTGTGATTGTCCTTGCTCTTCCATGCCGAAAGCTGTCTAGTCAGCAGGGAGCGCAAAGATTCTGGGACAAGGTTTCGAGCTTTACCGCATGTCATGACTGTAAGGGTTATTAAACAAAGGATCCGAGTTCCAGCGTATAGCGAGCAAGATGCAGACACATCTATTTATACGAAAACGTCCGTGTGACAAAAAAGCGGGTTTAGGCGTTGGCGAATGGACTACTAAAGGAGGGTTCGTAAAACGCTCCATGCATTGCTGTCACCGGATTCATTACCAGACGTGAGACCAAAGTTGCCTCGCATGGAGGCTCGGCACTGGTCGCGGAAAGAGCGAATGAGAAAGAAGTTAGGCCTCGAGCAAGGTTAAAACGAAGATTGAAATTTCAAACTTCGAATTCCAAAACTGAGACACTTGGACAGAGCAGTTGCCTCTTTCCCCTGCCAACGAGGAAGGGAAACGGGGGAGAGAAGGGGATGGGGTGGGGTTTCAGAGAATGTGAGTTGCTGCCCATGGGATTAAGTGCGGTACTGCCTCAGGTGCGATGGCGTTCGCATTCATGAACAGCATCAAATCTGGTGCGCTGGCGGTCCTTATGCACCCATGTACATGTTTGTCATTTCTCCGCGCGTGCTATCACCACCACACATCCGTGGATGAACCTGTTTCTCGAAGGTGAAGAGCTTTATTATTGGCTGAAAATTGTAACGTTGGAACCTCAAGGACACGTTCGTGGCTGGCGAGGCGATGTCATGTGCGGCAAAACAGCCTCGCAATTTCTCATCGTACATCTTTTGCCAACCATGTCAGAATGAACGGACTGGAATGATTGAACTAACAGTGAAATCAGTACAAGTACCTAACCCTAGAATTGTGTACCCCCTATAGGCTAACCCACTGTAGCCTAAACAACCACAACATATATAATGTTTGACACACCCCCATAGGCAAAGTGGGGGAGAGCAAGGGGTCACAAGACCAGTCAAAGCAAAGCAAAACAAGCTCAGGGTGGATCTCAAGGATACCACACAAATTCTGAGCACAAGCAAGTGGTCACAAGACCAGTTCACATGCAGGTTGATAATATAGCAAGAGATACAGTGATCACAACCTAGCAGGTGTAAACATGCAGGTATATATATAAAGATCACAGTACAAGCAGAGTCAAGAAGTAAGTAAGTGAGGTCCAGCAGGCACAAGGCCCAGAAGAGTACAGAAACGCTGATGGTCACAAGGCTGAAGCGCCTTGGTGAACACATCAGCAAGGTTGGCCTCTGTGGCCACGTAACGCAGACGAAGCTGACCACGCTGCTGCAACTCTCGAGCAAGGAAGTACCGCAGGGCGATGTGCTTCGTTCTGTGCTCCAGTCTGTGCTCCTCACACAAGGCAATGGCAGCCTGGTTGTCGACGTACAGCACTGGAGGAGAACGAGGCCGCTCTCCCAAGTCGGTCAGCAGGTAGGTCAGCCAGCGTAGCTCCTGGGCAGCCATGGCTGTGGCGTAGATCTCAGCCTCACAACTGGAGCTGAGAACAGAAGAAGAGCGTGTAGAACGCCAAGAAACTGAGCCGGAGCCAAGGCTGAAGGTGTAACCCTGAGACGACCGCTGAATAGCCTGGTCGTCCGCCCTAGAAGCGTCTGAGTGTCCAGTAAGTACAACTCGGTCTCGTCCTCCAAGCACTAGCCCCATGCCCGACGTACTGCACAAGTAGCGCAACACCCTCTTAACGGCATCCATGTGCTCCTTCCTGTGACGGCCAGGAGCGACATAGCGTGCAAGGATGCTAAGAGGATATGCAAGGTCAGGTCGAGTGCAGGTCATCAGGTACATGAGGCAGCCCACAAGCTCTGGATACGGGCCACTCGGCTCTACGGACTCATCCGAAGGCAGAGCTGAGAGCGAGTGACCGGTAGGCAGAGGAGTGGACTAAGGCGAGGAGTACGTGAAGCGGAAGCGCTGAAGGATCTGCTGCACCATGTGTGACTGAGTCAAGGTGATGGTGCGCCGTGCTCTGTCCCGGGTGATCCGCAAGCCAAGATAGCTTGTCAGTTCACCCAGGTCTATGCACGTGTGTCTCCTCTGCAGCTCCGACTTCACGTGGGCGAGTGCCGCGGTGTCAGCAGTGGCAAAGACCAAGTCGTCGACGTACACGAGGATGTAGAACGGCGGCAGCGAGGTGTCTGTGCGTAGAAACAGTGACGGGTCAGCAGTAGAGGGAGCAAACCCAAGAGCCGCAAGTGTCGTCCTCTGTGTGTCGTGCCACTCACGCGGTGCCTGGCGGAGACCGTAGACCGGCCGCTGGAGCCTCCACTGGGTACCAGGAGGAACCGACCCAGTGAAGCCAAGAGGGCGGCGCAGCCAGATCTCCTCGTGCAGGCTGCCCTGCAAGAAAGCAGTGCTGAAGTCAAGTGAGTGAAGCTCGTAGTCGCGCTGAGCGGCTATGTGCAGCAGCACCCGAAGAGTGGTCATCTTCGGAGTGGGGGAGAAGGTCTGAAAGAAGTCAACTCCCTCTCGCTGACTGAAGCCTCGAGCCACGTAGCGCGCCTTGAAGACAGGAGGAGAACCCGGTGGCCGCTTCACCCTGAAAATCCACATGCCACTGACGATGTTCGCCCCAGGTGGGGGAACCTCGTCGATGTAGGTGCGTGTGGACTTCTAGGAAGCCATCTCTGCGTCCATGGCTGTCTGCCACTGAGAGGAGTAGGGACCCGCCATCGCCTCAGCGTAAGTGCGCGGGGTCGGGATGTCTGGTGCATCCGGGTCTCCCTCAGGGGCAACTAGCATGGACACGAGGTGGGGCAAAGCAGCAGCAAAGCACTGGAACTCCTCCTGTCTGTCCTTAAGGACGTCCGTGCCAAGAGCACACTCACCCCCGACGGACGGAGGACAGACAGACTCAGACGCAGACTCAGCAACAAGGCTAGTGGCGTAGTCTAGACGACACCGGGCAGCAAAGTCGATCAACTCAGCGACCAGAGCAGACGCAGCAGAGGACTCAAAGGTAGGGTCAGTGACAACAGTAGCAAGGAGACGGGTGACAGTGGGACTGGCAGCACGACGGGAGTCAGACTCTGGGTCAGGAAGAGTAGGCAGAGAGGACGCAGGAGGAGACGGCAGCGGGACACGCTGAGGAGCAGTGGAGGGACGCAGAGTCATGTAGTGAGTGCCAGGGACAGGAGGAGGACGCTCACGGGGGACACGACGACCAGTGCGAGCAGTACGAACAGGCGACGTAGGACGAGACGCAGGCTCACGACGCTCTGCAAGACCTCCTGTGGGACCAGTGTAAGGAGAGGGACCAGGAAGAGGCGAGGCAGGCGGTAACTGTAACTGCGACTGGACAGGCGGAGGACACTCTACGGAGGGAGGAGGACGAGGAGGAGGAGTCTGACCAAGAACCTGCTGAAGGAGCGGTACGAAGTACGGTCGTGGCCGCGTAGCGTCTCCAGAAGGAGCAGAGACACCAGCGCCCGGGTCCTCAGCACCAGTAGCAGCTCCACCGCCCGGGTCCTCAGTACCAGCAGCAGCTCCACCGCTCGGGTCCTCAGCACCAGCAGCAGCTCCAATGCCCGGGTCCTCAGCACCAGCAGCAGCTCCAACGCCCGGGTCCTCAGCACCAGCAGGAACTCCACCAGCCGGGTCCTCAGCACCAGTTGGAACTCCACCAGCCGGGTCCTCAGCACCAGCAGCAGCTCCACCGCTCGGGTCCTCAGCACCAGTAGCCGCGCCACCGCTCGGGTCCTCAGCACCAGCAGCAGCTCCACCGGTCGGGTCCTCAGCACCAGCAGCAGCTCCAACGTCCGGGTCCGCAGCACCAGGAGCACCACTCCGAAGACTGCAGCGCCTCGTGTACCACTCTCGGATCTGCTGAAGGGAGGGGAGCTCCCGGGCAGGAGGGGAAGCACCGCGACCAGCTCCAGCAGTACCTCTCCGGAGGCGGCAGTACTGTAGGTACCGCTCCTGCAGCCGCTGTGAGGAGAGGGCTCCTCCAGGTGGAGTACCCCCAGACTCAGCACCCCCAGGCTCCGCACCCGCAGACTCAGCACCGTCAGGCTCACTACCCCCAGGCTCAGCACCCCCAGGCTCCGCACCTCCAGACTCAGCACTCCCAGGCTCAGCACCCCCAGACGCAGCACCCCCAGGCTCAGCACCCCCAGGCTCAGCACCCCCAGCAGGACGAGAGTCAACAGCTACCTCGACAGGCTCACCCGGGTCTACCTGGGACACACCTGAGGGAGCGGCACCCTGAGGGGGGAGGGGGTCTGGTACCTCAGCACCTGGAGCCAGGAAGAGAGGCGGGGGGGGGAGTGGGGCAGTGCGGTAGGGGAAGAGGCGGTAGTAGGGGACAGACTCGTCAAAAGTGACGTCCTGAGAGGCCAGGACACGACGCGAGGTGGCGTGGTAGAACTGCCAACCAGGCGCGTCCGGGACAAAGCCAAGGAAGACACAGGGGACAGCGCGACGGGAGAGCTTGTCCGCGGACGTGTCGCGAACAAAAGCTCGGGATCCCCAGACCCGAAAACGCGACGCATCGCCAGCCTCTCCCGTCCAACGCAGTGTCGGAGAAGTCTCCGGTAAGGAGACACGAGGCCAGAGGTTGAGCTGATGCGCAGCGTATCGGACTGCAAACGGCCACAGAAAGTGGGGGGCAGCCGCATGAACCAAGGAGGTACGAGCGACCTCCATGACCAAGCCAATGCGGCGCTCAGCAACCCCATTCTGCTGTGGAGAGGCC